AATTGTGCTCGGAACTGAACCGGCAGCCAGTGGAGCTGACACAGCAGGGGGGTGGTATGCTCCCTGTATGACACTCCAGTGAGCAGCCTGGCTGCCGCTCGTTGGACCAGTTGAAGTTTCCGAACCGTCTTCAAGGGCAACCCCACGTAGAGTGCATTGCAGTAGTCTATCCGGGATGTGACAAGAGTGTGGACCACTGTGGCCAGATCAGACTTCCCAAGGTGCACAAGTTTTAATTGCACAAAAGCTCTCCCGGCCACTGGCGAGACCTGTGGTTCAAGGCTCAGCGATGAGTCCAGGATCACTCCCAAGCTGCGAACCTGCGTCTTCAGGGGGAGTGTGACCCCGTCCAGCACAGGCTGTAACCCTATGCCCTGTTCGGCCTTACGACTGACCAGTAGGACCTCTGTCTTGTCTGGATTCAGTTTCAATTAGTTAGCTCTCATCCAGTCCGACACAGCAGCTAGACACCGATTCAAGGTCTGGGCAGCCTCCTTGGTGACAGGTGAGAACTAAGGAGTGACAGATCTGGACATCATCTGCGTAGAGATAACACCTCAGTCCAAAACTCCGGATGATCTCCCCCAGCGGCTTCATGTAGATGTTAAATAACATTGGGGACAGAATTGAACCCTGTGAAGCTTCAGCTGAGCCGATTACTCGAACAAATAGAGACTGGAATCATCAAGTGTCATCTTGTCTAACCCTGTTACGCTGGGAGGAAGACACAACTGAAGCAGTTCTGAAAGAGGCCTGTCCAACTGCTGCAGTGACGATGATGAGTGGTTTGGGAGTGCAGGGCCTGCAGGGCCTGAAGCTTCAGCTGAGGAGGCGGGTGAGGTGGTCGTCCTTTGTGATATTATACATTTTTCTCAGGAGGAGGGTGAGGTGGTTCACAGTCTCATAAGCCGCTGACAGGTCTATGAAGACAGCTCCTGTGATCTGCTGCTTTTCATAGCCATCTTCTATGTGCTGAGTCAGGTTCAGCACTTGCGATGTGCAGCTTTTGCCTTTCCTGATGCCAGCTTGCTGTCAAATCAGACAGGGGTCTATTTTCTCCATAATTCTATGCAAAATAAGTCTCTCCAGAACTTTGTAGAGAGTAATAATAATAATAATAATAATAATAATAATAATCTTTATTTATATCCCACCACCATCTCAGCATTCCTGGGCCTGTGTAGTGAAATTGCTACTCTATGTTAAAGTTTTGGTGTATAGCTCTATGTTTACATATGGCAGATGGGGAAGAATAGGCACAGACAGGGTAGCAACAGCAGAGATAGGATTCATTTGCATATGGAAGCCGATTGGTCATGTGCAGATTAGTGTAGGCCCAGGATTTGAAAAGGCTGCTAGGCCAAAATGACAGTTGGGGAGAGCAGAGCTGCATTCCAAAGGGGCAGAGCCAAGGTTCTGAGAGAGGCAGTTAGAGTGAGGGAGTTTGAAAATAACAGTTAGGAATCTGTGTGTGAAAAGGAGAGTTGGTTTTTGAGTGCCTGATAGAAATAAGCAGTTATGAAGATGTGTTAAAGACTTCTGATATAGAGAAGCAGTTAGTTAAACAGAGCTTGAGTTTTAAGGAACATAAAGAAGGCTAGTATTGCATTAGTTCAGAATATAATTCAGCCAAGAGTGTGTAAAGCTAGTAACATGTTTGTGAATGTGAAACATTGATAGTTTATTCAGAAAAGTTAACCAAGTAAATGATACTGACTGTAAGCCTTAGGATTGCATCAAAACACAAATGTAACCACAAGCATTGGAGCCAGAAGTTATAAATAAACTGTGTTACTTTGTTATACACAAGAGTGTTTCATTGCCTGCGATATAAAGTACAAACAGCACACAGAAGGTCCCAGCCAATATATATAAGGTAGCAAAGAGGTTTTTAAAGAGGAAATAGTCTCTCTCCCTCGCCTCAGCCTGCTTTTCCGCAACAGCCAATTCCCCCTCCTGCACCTGCTTGTTACAAGGCATTTCCCTTTCCAACTTTTCACCTATGAACTGTGTTTACCATTGGTATGCTTTCCGTAATGTTTAGGTGAACACACCCTGACACACACATTGTGCAACTTCTGCAACCTGTACCTGAACGCAGACATTCTTCATCACACAGAAACGTCCACTTCTTTCTTTACCAGATTTTAAGCAAGCCTAAAACACTTGCTTTTGGGCTTGCTTTTATATTCATGCCTTGGATTCATGTTTCCTGGTTTCTTGGATTTTTAGAGAAGTTTTTGCTTTTGTTTTTCATGGACTTTGATGGACTATTACCCTGGATTACTTTATTTCGGCTTATCTTCCTACCTAATTGGATTTACCTATTTCTTTAAAGTGCTTTTTTACTTTACTGTTTTTTAATTATCTTTGACTATTTGACCCAACAGTAAGTTTATGGATACTTTGTTGAAGAAGACCTAGCAATTAGGACAACCCAAACATTCAGATGAAGGAGAATTTCCACATCTACGGGATGTCGGCTTCAAGAAGTACTCTAAGTCCCATGGGGCCATGGTTCCGGCTTATCTTCCTACCTAATTGGATTTACCTATTTCTTTAAGTGCTTTTTTACTTTACTGCTTCTCTTTGACTATTTATTTATTTATTTATTTATTTACTGTCCTTGTATACCGCCGTTTCTCAGCCTAACTGGCGACTCAATGCGGTTTACAACAAAATATACAGTGCACAGTATACAATTAAAACCATAAAAAACATAATACACAATATTTATTTATTTATTTATTTATTTATTTATTTATTTATTGCATTTGTTGACCGCCGTTCTCAGCCCCTTAGGGCGACTCACGGCGGTGTACAACATATAAAAACAGTTTACAAAACATATAATTAAACTAAATCATCCGCGTCGTCTCAACATAGAATCATAAGCCAATCTCGTAATCCATATTCCGTTCCAGTCGTCATTGCCAATTGTTATAGCCCTTAGTTAAACGCCTTTTCGAATAGCCATGTTTTGTTCAATATTACACGTAAATCACAATCCAATACATCTCCTAACTAAAATCGTGGTCCACTTGCATCATCCATATTACCAATCCGTAATCAACACATTCATTGCACCGAATTAACCAAATGCCTGCTTGAAC